ACTCCTCTAGAGGACTATTGGTATTTGGTGGGGATATGTTATTTTTGTTTTTCATGTTTATTATTTTTTCCCTGTGATTTTGACATGTGGATTTCTTTTGTAGATCTGATTCTTGTGTGAGACTCAAGCCTTCAAGTATAGGTCTGTGCTTTTTTTGTGAACTTTATGTGTCTTTGTGGTTTACTTTTTGGGCATGAAAAGCTGGTTTGTCTAAGCTTCCAGTTCTCTCTTTTGATTTTACATTGGAGTGGCCAGATTGCTTTTGTCTTCAGGAGTTCCCACAGAGGCCCAAGTCAGATGAGGATCAGATGCCCTCAGGCTTTCTCCTAAGGTCTGGATCCCTCCAGGAAAGATTTTGGCCTCAGGAATTTGGGGGTTGGACCGGTCTGGGAGCCAGACCCAGGAAAGGTGCTGGTCTAGGGCAGCTGGTGGCTGTGCCACCCAGAGATGCAAAGGCAGATGGGGTGGGAAGAGGCCCCAAGGGCTCCTGGGGTCTGCACTGAGGAGCTGGGTTGGTCTGGATGCAAAGGATCAGGAAGAGGAAAGGTCAACCCCTGCTTCCTGGAAAGAGGCTGGTGGGTGGTGCAGGCCCAGGGAAGCAGAGGAAGGTGAGGGCAGGGCCAGGCCCAGAGTGGTCCTGGGACCTGAGAAGGCACTGAGTTGGTCTGAATGCAAAGGATCAGGAAGCAGCGGTGTTTCCCTGGGTGTCTGGGGTGCCAAGACAAGGAATGGGACAGGACCCAGGCTAGGAGGAGAGACCCGCAGGGGAGATGGGAAGATGAATGAGGCTGGGGGAGGCAAGGTGCGGAGGGCCCGATGGACTTACCCCGAGAGAGGCCTGCGAGTCCTACAGGCCCAGGGAAGCAGAGGGAGGTCGGGAGTTGTGATTTTAAGTCCAGGAATCAGCTGTGCTGGCATCTGCTAGCATCTGTTTTGGCTCAGGCCTCTTGCTCCTATACCCCTTCATCCTCCCCATAGTCTTATGTGTGGGACACTACCATGAACACCAGCAGAGCTGCAGCCAGTACCCCAGAGCTTCCTGCAGGTGCCACTCATGGCCCTGAATTCTGTCTTTATACAGCTGCACTTAGGTGCCTCCCATAATGCCTCTGCTCTGTCCAACACTGCTGCCACCCACCCATCCTGCCCCTGAGCTCCCACGCCCATCAGTGCCATTTCTCAGAGAAGCCTTTCCAGCCTTGGGCCTCCCATTGTATGCCCCAAGGAGAGGGTCACCAGACAGAAATCCTGCCAGCTCTGAGGAACCAAACAGTTCACCTGATGGTTAGTGGTTCTCCAATGGGCTGAGGTTATACCTGCAGGACCCTGGACCAAAGGAAGGTATGAGGTGAAACCCTAGTGCCCTTGCCAGTGTCTACCCTGCCTCCTTGCTTCTCACCAGGCTATGCAGCACAGGACAGACACCTCTTGCTCATCGCTGGAACACTGAGGAGTGAAGGGACCTCCTGCTTGAGGCAGCCACAGAACCCAGGACACCTCATAAAGGGGTATCCATAGCTCATAAAGCCATGGTGTGTGCAATCAAGGAGACTAATGGCTGCTAGCCTGGGGGAGGGAGAACAGAGGTGTGGAGACACATCAGTAGCACAGAGAGGAGTCAGAAATAAGCCTGCTAGGTCCCAGAGGTGGGACTCTGAAGGCAGAAGCCAGCTTTACCACCATATCTTGTTTTGACTGGAAAACTGTAACTTCTTAATGAAGGCCATCAGCTTATGGGTCTCCCTGACATGCAGCTCTCTCATTTTGCCCATCAGGCCTGACCCCCACGGCTGTTTGCTGTAGAAGCTGAGATGTACATAATATACAAACACAGCCCAGAGCCGGCCACTACTTTGTAGGCTGCTCCTCCCTGAAGGCCACAGGTCTAGATGGCCCAGTGACGTTTCCTTGACTATGAACACATAGTGGTGAGTTGGGGAAAGCCCCATACTCTCCTGAGAATGTCCCAATACAGCACTACCAGTTTCCCCTTTCCCCTAAGGTGTCATCCAGCTAGAGATTGAAGGATCACCCTGCAGCCTGGTTGGCTGGTCTGATGGGTTTCTGGTTTGGCCAGGAGGCCTCTGGCTTCCAGGGCTTTTTCGTCAGTGTCTAGTATTGAACAGTGGCCCAAGCCGCAGTGTCTGGTGAGGGGAGGCCACCCAGGTGAGGCTGACACAAGCTGTGGAATGGACTTCCAGGACACAACAAAGAAAGGCCAATACCTATGCTCCCTGACATGGAATACCCAGAACAGGCAAATCCAGAGTAGCTGGTGACTTCAGTGAGTATCGAGTTTTCACAGTGATGGAATGTTCTGAAACAATGGGGAGTGACTATACAATAATGTAAATGTACCAAATTGTAAAGAGTCAATGGTTTAGTTTTTATGCAGTAAATTTCACCAAATTAAAGATCAAGGTCTTTCAACGGTGAAGAGACTAGGTCGGGACCTTAGGGTGAGGCCTAGGAAGCAACAGCATTCCCCAAGGCTGAAGAATAGTCTTACCATGGGGACAAGATATGGTCCTCTACATACAGCTTATGCCCTTAACTAGCCCAGGATCCCATCCTAACTCATCATACTGAGGCCACCTCTGCTGAGTGGAGAACCCAGGGCAGTGTGCCATTGAGAAAGACGCCTTGGGGAAGGGCAGAGATGCTGTAGAACCATTTAAGCTCAGGAGCCTGCTAGAGACTGGTGCAGCACAGTATATCCCTATGGGACTGCAGACTCAGAATTGGTCTTTCCAATCCCCCCTCTACTAGGGGCAATGGCCCAGAAACAGGTTAGTCTGAACAGGGAGGTGGCAGCCTCAAAGCCAAAATACCCCAGACCCAGCAAGAGCACTGGCTCCTGGCTTAGGCCCGAATCAGCTGCAATCATTTTCTGATGTTTTATCCAGAGGTGTGATTTTGTGCCCCTCCAACCATCCCCTCCCTCCCAGAACTGAGCTTCCATTTGTGGCTGCCCTCTGAAGACAAGGTGGCTTCTTCACTTCTGCATTTTCAAAGGGAGCAGGACACTCGGCAGGTCTGCAGGACACAGGCACACCCACCACCATGGCAGGCAGGGAGTGATCATATACACACACCACCTTAGACATCTCTTTATTAGGACCTGTGTACATGTATTCTGCAAATACAAGTAGGTATTAGGAAATACATCCTTTTGAAACATTTTATGGCCCTAAACACTTCATTCTAACAGGCCATGCAGTTCACTGTTTGCCAGGAGGACAACTCTTTCCTTAGGCTCAGTGACCAAACAGGAAACAGAAGCTGTCCCTCCGTAGGTATGTCCTTTGGGCTCCCTTCAAGAACTGCAAGGAGGCTGTGCAGAACTCACCAGCGAAGATGCATGTGGCTCCTGGTGCTCTGAGCAGACCACAGAGCTGAATAATTCAGCCTCATACCCTTACGTTGGTTTCACTGCTCAGAACTAATGGGACACCACATGATATACTTCGGCCTCTGCTACTGACATGACAGTTCAGAAAAGCCACTACCTCCCCAGGCTGCCACATGCCAGAGAGGACGAGACGAAAGTTCCTGTCTTGTGACAAAAACTCCATATAGAATAAAATTTAGAAAAAAAAGAAAAGCTCTCAAGAACCCACTAGCTAGTTCTTGGCAGAGGCTGCAGGTTCTGGAGACTGAAGGAATTCATAAGGGTCATGGGTGACATCCGGCTGCTCCCCAACACTAAGGCGAGAAGGACTTCCTGCAAGTTTAAAAGAATACAGCATTTCAACACAGATGGATCTGCAAAGCTCATGAAATCAACATCTGTCTGACTGCTGTCCACAGAGATGTTCTCACTGGCACTGGACACAGGTCCCCTCACATCCCAAATTGACTCAGGGTGGTCCAGAACTTGCCTTGGGCTCATCTACCTTGCTGATACCTTGACCACTAGGCGATCAGAAGCAACATTCCTAGTCTCTCTTTTGGCAACTGCAGCCAGGCCTCTGTACCACTTCCTTAGAAAATACCAGAACTCATTCTGCCCACAGAATGCTTCAGGACACAGGTGAAGGCAGAGAGAACAAGCAGCACTGGAAGCCAGGTTGCAGCTTGGTGAGCACGTCAAAGCATGCATGAGCTCAACACCCAGCACCAGAAACAAGAGACAGCACAGCTCTGTGCAGCTCTCTCCTCTGAATTCAAACAGTACTTCCTGTTAGGAGGAGGGACACTCCAAGACTCCGGAAGCAAAGGAAATGCAAAAGGCCCAAGCTCCTATGGCTACCCATTCACAAAGGCGCTCCCCAGTGTCATAAAGGCAGTACGCAGTCTCTAGGGAGAGGAGACTCTTCCAACTGCCTATTAAGCTGTGCAGAGAGCTCCAGGAATTCAGCTTTCATGAGCTGTCACTGATGCTGGAATGGGGTTTTTGGTGATGCTGCGGATGCTGCCTCTTGAGTTAGTCGTGCCTGTAAGCAACCCTAATAAACTTACTACTGGTTCACTACACTAAAGGGTAGAACTAGTTCTCTGGTCTGTTGTTGGTCCCTATCTGGGTAGATGGATATTTATTCACAGATGATGGACAAGAGAATACACTGCAGTCCCAGAAAGCACCATACGTGGGACAGGATCCTAAGTAGGCTGTGACAGTTGTTGTGTGGTCTTTACTATGGGCAGTAAGACATTCAAATGAGGCTGAATGGTCTTCCAGAAAGAATGTGCCCAGGGAGCAGAGGAATCACAATCAGAAGAAGGCATATAGATACTTTCCTCCACATTAGCCTCCAAGCGGAACGAAGGCAGGATGAGATGGGTTGGCTTACTATTTCTTACAGCTGGCAGGATGCAAGGAAAGAGTGTGAATTAGATCTGAGCTGAAGAGCTCTTCCTGGGGTCCAAAAACGAGAACCCATGTGAAGAACTAGGCCGTGAAGGAGGAGAGAACAGGCAGAAGTAACAGAAGATTGCTTCAGGTCTGATCTTTAAAACAGAGGAAGGGAAAATCCATTATTCAGCATGCAGACAGAAGCCTTAATGACACAGCCTTGTATAGGAAACTCTGACAACCAGGGAACACTCTGTGTATGAACTGATGGAACTGGGGAAGACTTCTCAAGCAATGAAAGGGCCTAGTACTGTCTGGCTCATGAGGCTATAAAACATGGAAGCAGAGAAACTGAGTAATAAAACTACCTAAGTCTCCTCGAGACCAAGGCTACCTAACCTGAAGCAATGCAGGAAAGCGTTCCCAATGGCCTGGCTCACTGGGAACACTTGGCTATCCCTAGCTGAAGTTCAAATGAGTATCAGGGACTGGAAGACAACAGGGAAAGGATTAACACTACTGAAGAAACGGGACCCACCTGCAGGTGGCCGTGTTTAATGCCTAGTTCACTAGGCCAGCAGGAACGTGTTCATGAGAGCTAAGAAAGAGGCTGACTGAGCAGAGACCTCAGGATTGGTGTAGAGCGCTAGTGGCTTTGTTGAGTTCCATGGTGGGATGTGATCTTTACCAGAAGAGTCTGAATGACTTAGATCAGCATGTAAATTAGTTTCATAAAGTGCAAAAGAAATCAAGAGGGAACGGAAAAGACAAACCAGACAAAGGAGCCCATAGAGGCCACTCAGAGGCAAATGGGACAAGATCTGTGTGAGTTCTCATGGGAGAAACTGACGAAAAGCCAATGCTACACCAGTGAGCTGCTGCTGGAAGGCTTCAGAGATGTGAGAAAGCAGTGAGAAAAATTAAGCTCGTTCTAGGGGTGGGGGGGTACTCTCCCAGAGTGTATTGTGTACATTTCTCTCCTGCCACAAAATATAACTGGGGGTAGAGACTGTCTACCCAGACCTGGTCCTTTCAACAGCCAAGTACAGCCAATGGAAAGGTAAGAGCTGTGTTAGCCCAGAGTCTGTCAGAACTAGGGAGCCAGCTGTGGTGGCAGGCATGACAGACAGGAGTGCGGCCCTGCTTCCCCTTGGGCTTGTTGAGACCATGAGGGGTGATGAAATGCACAATGGCCCCATGGTAGCAACACTGCCCCAGGACGAGGAGGATGAAGGCTCCTGGAAAATGACTGTGTGGACAGAGGGCTAGGAAGGGCAGTGTTAACCCACCCCTGACACCGTACCCAACACTGCTCTTTATGTGTGCCAGTACAAGTGATGAGACTGTTTTGTGCTACATTAGACCATTACTTTTCAGTATCTCTTTGGCCATCCAAGATGAATTGGGGCTTGCTTAGAGTAGACAGCATAGGTCTTCAGAGATCCTGCTCATACGCTATAAAAAGGTTTCATTATATAACGGTCGAGTGTCTTACAGATTTTAAAAAGCATCTGGAAGAATGGTAAAAGCAGCAGTTTCAGAGCTTGAATGAAGGCAACCTGCATGAATGAGAAAGATCACTCCCAGGAGCCATCAGTTTGTTGGGTGAAAGATCCCAGAGGTGGGCTACCTCTCCATGAGGTGTTGGTCAGGGATGCCTTTGAGGCCTCACAAGCCATAAAGGCTTTTGTCACTGCACTGCTGCTGGTTACATGCCAGAGCTACACAGTAAATCTCTATGACTGAAGACACCACGTAGTGTGGCTGCAGGATATGGAAAAACCAGGTTGAGACTGAGCTGGATGTTCTCTCCCTGCTAGATGGTTTTCATAGTGCTAGATGGTACTAGGTGAGCTGCTGGGGAAAAACTGTCATCAACAGTCCTACAGTGAAGTCTGTGAGCTACAGTACCAACATGCTCAGCAAGGTGTGTCCAGTGATGTGATGGTGGCATGACTGTTAAAGATGCAACAACCTGCTGATTAGACTTAGCCTTTCCCACAGATGGGAACTCACATCTAGCACTATAATCCAAGACAAAAGCCAATGGCTAGGGAGGTCATAGGCCTCTGTGGGAAAGCAACTACCCCTGTTTTGATAAATGTGTGTGATGTGTCTATCAAACTGCCTTTGAAACATCTGTGTTTATGTCCACAGAACATTGCTGCTGTCAGCCTCAGTCAAGGAGGAAAACTTTTTTGCAATAGGCAATATACTACAGAGATCCAACTGGTTAAGCGTCTGAGAACAAGTAACTGTTGCTGTGGCCTAGTGGCCCAGTGCGCCCTCATAGATGGAGGAGAAAAACCATATGCCCCTTCCACAGCTTTGGGAACATCATAGGAGAGGAGGCAGAAGGAATGCAAGAGCTAGAATGGGTGGAGTGTTGTGTATGTGTTTCCTCCCGGGAGAGGGGAGAGCTCATAAAACTCAGAAAGTTGCCACGTATGGTGGCACACAGTGGTGCGTGGTGGCACATGGTGGCGTGGGTCTTTTAACCCTAGCACTCAGGAGGCAGAGGCAGAGGCAGAGGCAGGCGGATCTCTGAGAGATGGAGGCCAGCCTGGTCTACATGGTGAATTCCAGGCCTGTTGGGGCTACGGGAAGGCCCTGTTTGAAAAACACCCTCCCCCTGAGAAAGAAAATCCAAACAAACAGGACACTCGGGAAGTAAACAGAACTTACAAGGGTCAGGAAGCTCCCAAAAGCTGCCAGATTCATAAGGACCCTCTTCACGGTTAGAAAAGCAACAAACAATTGCTGGGAAAAGGAACTATGCCAACCAGCCAAGCTACCTGCAAGATGTGCAGGGAACTCCAGGATGCAGCCTTCAACTGTGCTAGGGTGGGCCTTACAGTGATAGGGCTGCCTCTGAGTAACCCATGCTCCTGTAAGTAACCCTAAAATAATCCACTGGCCCACTAAGCTACACATGGGTAGAACTGTTTCTTTAGTCTCTTGTCAGTGTCCTACCTTGGAGGAATATATGTTTATGTCTCATGAGTGTGCAGAGCACAGGCAAGCCCTTCAGTGCTTCCTAAGGCCCCACGAATCTATGTGAGGCTCTTACCTGGAGGGTGTTGCTCCCTTTCAGAGGCGGTGGACAGAGAGCTGAGGTTTGAGGATGGCCGGGAGCCCCCTCGCTCTGCCTGTGCCTCATGCAAGTCCTGCAGAAGCCTGGCTGTCTCATCCAAATTCAAGTGGCTGTCATCATGGTCCAGCTCCTTCTTCACTTTCCCTGTTTGACAAAGATGATGGGATGCTGGTAAGCACAGCCAGCACACATAGCCCACTCAATGATAGGCCATGGCTGGGGAATGGAACAGGAGCAGACCCAGTGTCCTTTCATTCAAGCCAAGTACCACATTGAATCTCAGCCACCTGATGCATGAACACTATGAACAGCCTTGGCCACACAAGGATGTGAATTATGCTGGCGTCCTGCCATTAAGAGAGAAAGAGAGAGTATGCAACAAAGGTTGCTGAGCAGGGACTCCACCTAGTTCCCAATCTGGAGCCAGGCTTGATCAGGAAGGCCAAAAGGCCACCTTTGCCCTGTACTAAATGTGGCCCTGAACCCACCCCAATGATACCTGAGAATGGTCCATGTGGTTCCAAACCATTTACTGGTCTCAGAGCATAGGGTACCACAATCCAGTGTCACCCAACCCAGCATCCAGGGTGTAAACTCTGAAACCTGTAAATGACCCTACAGAGCAGCAAGGAGACAGAGTCAGCAGGCAGGGCAGCAAACAGAATGCCTAGGGATGACACCCCAGGGTCTAGAAGGCAGAAGCATGACTGCAGAAGACAGGTCAGATGGGACCTTCCGAGACAGGAACAGCACTTACAGCAAGAGTCCGTCAGAGCAAAGGAGAGGAGAGCCCTTGGATACTCAGCAGGCATGGGTATGGTCAGCCTCAGCATGGAGAGGGACACCTAACCAAGGTGTTTACTTCATGAGATGGTAGGTTGGTAGTTACTGAAGAAAGTATAGCCAGGAATTTCCATGTTTGGTAAAAATCATGTGACCCCAGGGTTCAAAAGGGTTCTAAAGAAAAGCAAACCAAGGCACATCCTAACCCAACTTCTGAAAAGTCCCAAAGAAGGAAAAACCCCCAAGCGCCAAGATAAAGATTAGTAGTCTATATGCAGGAAAGTATACCAACCAGCCTGGGCCACTATACCTAAGAAGGCTGATACCTAGATTTGAATTTGGAGGAGATGGAGGAGTCCCTACCACCAACTGACACTACACTTGTGTAAAGTATGGGCCATATCTACCCTGCCTTCCTGTAGAGTCTGGAGCTGATATAGGCCAGGCCAGGTGTATGTGGATGTGTATGTGGCAACACTTGAAGAGGCTTCCCCCAATCCAAACCCTATCATGACTGTCATAGCTCACTTGAGGACTGAAGTGTACTCCCTACAATTCCATGGGTTGGGGTCCTTAGGAGCCTGTACCTGGCTCTCTTCGGACTTGCTCCATGTGCCTTCTCCCTCTGTTGATACTGTGGGGGTTTTGATAGTATGTTGTTTCAGGGTTTTTGTTACTGTTTTGTTTTTTCTATAAAAGATCCTAGCTCTGAGTCCTAGGACGCCCCCAGCAAGTCATGAAGTCTGGGTGTTTGGAGGACTGAGATACAGTTCAGAAAAGACAACAACTAAGAAGATGGCAGATCTGAATCCAATCACTAGAAACTGTATTAAACACAAATTACCTAAAAACACTCAAACCAAAGGCTGCATGAGGCTGGGGAGACTTTACTGTCACCTTTAAAAAGGTTGCACAAAGCCCGCTTTCAGTATGAGAGAGGGCTTCTCAGCCTGGCACTCCTGATTCTGGGGCCATCTGCACTATAAGATGTGGGGCCCCTAAGAAGCAACAACATAAAATGCCTCCAGGTACTGCCGCATGCTCCAGTGGAGTACCACGGAGGCAGGTGTGTACACCAGGAAGGGAAGAGCAGACACAGCACAAAACACCACCAAGGGACCTCGATGGCTGTCAGTCTTAGATGAAAAAGCACAACTAACACCACACAGAAAACAGGCATTTCCTAAAGGTAGAGAGCACATCCTCCAGAGCATAAGCGTGCTAACAGGTAGCTGACACACCTTACACAAGATCTGCAGCACCAAACTGACCCACTGTCACACTGGGTATATAGCTTAAAATCAGAATGGAACAGGAATACCCAGCCAGAACTATCTGGAGCTCCTGCTCAGGGTAGGAGGAACCAGAGCTGCCTAGGGACAGTGACAGAGGTCACATCTATTCAGCTGAGCCTGAAAGTATGACCAAGGGGCTCTGAAGAAAACACATGAGTTTTTATTTCCTACTCTCTTACAAACCACAACATCCCTTGTTTCTGTTCTTGTTTGTGTGTGTGTGTTTTCTGTTTTTTGGTATAAGGGATGGAGCCCAGGACTTTGTTCATGCTAGGAAAGTACTCTCCCACTGAGTCATAAAACACTTCTGATACCAGCCTTAATCAAGTTTCTACTCCCATACAGGGAAACTGCAGCAGACACCAGTTAGGTATCCTCTAGTTCAACTCCGTTCTGATATTGTCCCCTGGAGATGGTGTCTAATTCCATATACTAAGGGCACAGTAGTACCTTACCCACAGATCCAGGATGGTTCCTATCTTAACTGACTGGTTATAAGGAGAGGACCCCACAGGTCCTTCCTCAGGTATGTTATTTGCCAGGGCAGCTCAGGAACACAGAGAAACCAAATGCTGCTTTCTTACTGCACCACACATCACAGGCAGGAGTGGGTGTCCACGCAAGATGCCACAGAAGAAAGCACCCAGATGCCTCACCCAGAGAGCTGAGCATGGATACATCCAGGGAGACGTCAGGATATGGTTTCATTGACATAAAATCCAGAACAGAACCACCACCATCTCCCAGTGAGTCCCCAACCTGCAGAAGACAGGAAAAATACCAAGTTTAAACAAGATAAACAGGTAGCACAAATGTCAGCTAATGGCAGCTGTGGGAGTCCACAGGATGTGCTAAGTTTGAGCCACCCCCTTGGTAAGTAACACCCCAGCCCTGGGGTGAGGGCAGGATCCAAGGAACAGAGTCGACTCATGAGTCCAGTCTCATTAATGGATGTGCAAATCCACGCCCAGGGAGCTTATTCAGATTAACAGACTGCTGGTAACAACCCTTTGCTAACTTCTTAGGGAATTCATTAGTGCTATGGGAATATGAGAGGTTGACCACAAGCAGCCCTAGTAGACACATGGAACTCAAGGGCCCACCACCTTTCCAGGAGCACTATGGCAAATTCTAAAACCAAAGCTGGCCATCTCAGGGATAAACCTACAATTCTCAGGGTTCTGGGAGCTTCTGCTGCCCAGCTTCTGCCATGCTCCCACACGGGCCTTACAGAGTTCCTTAGGACCCGAGACTCAACCCTACACTTGATCACCTCTGATACATGGGCCACTGTTGGCTAGTGGACAAGCTCTGCGACACAGGCAGTGGTGCTGCCCACCATGTCAGGCCACACATAATACTTGCCACTCAGACCAAGGGGCCCCACCCTCCTTGAGGCAGTGTACAGTCGACTGCTCTGAGTTTGTTTCAGCCCTCTCTTCCAATTGCTAAGGTAAGCAGATGAGGGAGAAGCACTGCCACAGTCCGTCATCAGAAACATGTAGCTCCTAAATAGAATGACAAGAGGCTGTCCCACCACCCCACTGCAATGGCTAGTGACCATCACCACACAAACCCCAAAGCTGGGCTTCTGCTCACATGTGTGGGAAACCCACCTTCACCTGGTCTGCCGGTCTCACAGGGATGCTCCTCCTCTGCAAAGTAACAAGGTGGGAAACCAGTTTTTTCAAAGCAATTTTTCATTACAGGGCAATGTGTTCACATTACACTAACAGTGGCTTGTTCACTACCCAGGGTTCTGCCCATCACAGGTTAACTACATCCACAGCTGAAGCAGGAATCTTGCAGGACTCTTCACAGCTGGTAATGAAAGCAGACCAAGCAGGTTCACTCATTCCACACCAGCCAAGTGCCCAGATGCCATGCCAGGGAAGGGGGACATGGGCAAGGTGATTCCCAATTCTGTGTCTTCAGCCGGTGTTAAAAACAAACCAAAATACGCAGCCTGAGAAAAACAGGCCTTGTGGTTTAGCCCAGAACATGCCATTTTTACTGCTGCTGTGCACTTGAAATTATTCCACTCTAATGGAAGTTCACTCTTAAATAAGGAATTCGAGTTAATCAACAGCACTTCATTTCAGGGACACAGGGAGCATTTTCCTGCTGTGCTAGACAAGATGTAGATAGAAATGGCATTTGCAGGGCCAGCAAGATGACTCACTCAGTGGGTAAAAGCAGCTGCCACACAGCCTGACACCCTTGGTTGGATTCCTGGAATCCACAGTGAAAGGACAGAACCAACTCTGACCTCCACATTTGTACCACAGCATGAGTGCCTGTACTCATATACATACGTTATACATACACACAATAACAACAACAACAACAATAATAATAATAATAAAAGAGGTGGCCTATGCTGAGGCTGACTTCCTGCCTAGAGGGAACTATACCTGGAGGATGACAACCAGAACAGAAGCTGAACCTGTGACTGGTGGGGCTGAGCTCTGGAGGGGGCTCCAAAGTTTCTAAGTTTATTTAGTCACAGAAGTGGCTACCAGGCCAGACCAAGAGCCATGGGAGCCATAGGCCAAAATAGTCCTGAGCCAATATGGACAGAGACTCACTAGAATGCCACCTAGCCAGAGCACAGACCTCCTGGGAATCTCTAGCCATCAGAAGAGTCTCAGCAATGCTGCTCCTTAACATTATGGCCACACCACCCCTAGAATATGGCTGTCCTAGGCCTGGCCTGACAGAACTGGGAGGTCACAGGTAACTTCCTGTCAAAATGAAGGTCAATGTTCTTCAGGTAAATACAATAAAATCTTTGGGGCCGAGGAAATAGCTCAAGTGGTAAAGCGCTTGTCTCACAAGCATGAGAACTTGAGTTTGACCCCAGAACCTCTGTGTAATCCCAGCACTAGGGAGGTGGAAACAGGAGAATTCCTGGGGCTTGCTGGCCAGTTAGCCTGTTAGCCTGGCCTACTCAGCAAGCTCCAGACCAGTGAGACCCTGTTTCACAGGTAAAACAAAACCCCAGGCACCTGAGAAACAACAACTGAAGCATATGTGTTCATATGCATAGAACACATGTGTACACACAGACACACATACTGCATACACATATACACACAGGCACAAACAACATGCACATACACACACACAAAGATGCACACAGGCATGTGTGTGCATGCATACACACAACACTAAAATCCAACCTTAGGCTAGGAACGTGGCTTGGTGGTAGAACAGTTGCATAGCATGCACAAAGTCCTGCACTTGACTCTCAGCACTAGAAAAAAAAACCCTGCCATCTTCGGCCAGCAGAAACAGACCGTATGTACATGTCTAATTTGGATGTAAAAACATCCTTAGCTAATGAACATACACATTGAGTGAGGGTCTGAGCTGGCCCTAACCTGCAGTGTGTCAGCTCTGGTCTTGACAGACAGACATATCACAAACAGAAAGCCAAGACACAAAGGGCCACATGCTTCTTCAGAAACCATAAATGCTAGTCTCTGTTACAGCAGAGAGGAAAAGTCCACATAGATTCACGTGAAGGGAAAACAAGTTTCAAAAGTCACAGCGAAACCCTGTAGACAGACAAAAGCTGAGAAGAGCTCACACTGCAAATGTGAGCTGTGAGAGCCAGCACGTTCTTCAGGAGCAGGCCGAAGACCAATGAAGAACACAGGCTAAGGGGGTCGTAAGACCTGGCAAGCTTCTTTTTTTCACAATTAAAAAAATACTTTTGCTTCTTTTAAAGACACTTAGCTCTTAAAAGCAAAATTTAAAGCTCAAGGAGCCAAGAACAGCCAACAATGACCTAAGCAGCCGTGTCTCTGGAACCTATTGGGCTGGATGAGTGCTCTGCCGGAGAAACACCAAGGCGAACCCTCCAAAATCACAGCATCTGAAAATCTTACCTGCTTCAGCTGGAAGATCATCCTTGAGTGGTCTCCGCCTGTGATCTGATCCAGGAGGTCATCCACCATTTTCTTGCTGTAGCTCCCAGCATCCTTCACAAACTCCTGCAGGCTAGAAGGGGACCATATGAGGGATGTGTTAAAAAAGCATCCCATCTCCAATTTCAAGATTCATCCAACAGTGACAGAAGTCCTGACTCCAAAAGTCTACTGTGGATATCTCCTTAGTCCTCTGGGAGCTACCCAGACAGGTGTGCAAGGGACAGGACTGAGAGCTCTCCATCAATGTTCAAAGTGGTTTATGTCCAAAAATGGTTAAAAAGATCGCTAGGAAAAAAACAAGAAAGAAGGAAGAGGAGGAGAAAGAAGAGGAAGAAGAAGAGGAAGAGGAGGAGGAGGCAGGAAATGGTTCATAGGTACATGCTCTACATACACTCATAAGACATGCTGGTTAACCTCTAAAGAAGGTTAACCTCTAGTATTTGCCAGTTTGAGATTTAAAAGCACAGGCAGCATGGAAAGGCACAGTGGTGAGTGGGCAGATGGGGAGGGGCAGGGGTTAAGACTCAGGGCACACCTTTTGATACCACTTTGATTTTTGGACCATATGAATATATTAGCTCAAAAATAAATAAAAATTTAAGATGTAACCAAAGAACAAAAATCCACTAGAATAGAGCACCAAACGTGGCCTCCTAAGGACCCCAGACTTTGAGGACCTTCACAGAGAGATGCAAGGAGGCTGCTGGCCTGGAGCTTTAGCTTAAACCAGGATAAACACACCTGCTGACAGAACCATCATCTGGGACACTGTGACCATGTGTATGGAGAGCAGATCTTGAGGATGGAGAGCTGCAGGGCTCACAGGCCAACTCTGATGCCCCTACAGCCCTGGCCCATGTAATTTATTTTTGCACTGCCCTGGTAGCTATGAGGTGGTACCATCTCCAGGTCTTAGCTGTGGGACACATGGAACCCAAACATGTTCCAGGAGCAGACACCTGGGGAAGGTGGTAGGATGTCAATGGTCTATGGATAACTTGCCTCAGTGCCCATGGCACTGGTGACATGAAGGACTAACCAGGGCCTGCTAGCCAGCAGTGCTCTAACTATAAGTCTTTGCTGCTGATTTACAACACTGTCTTCTTCTGAAGGAAATCCCTTCCTTCACATCTACTTTTACTGCTTCTTTATCACAAAAATCTGGGTCTGGTATTATTAATGTATAAGAACTAATTGGAATTTTATTTTATTTTTAAAATATTTTATTTATTATTACTTTTTTAAGTGTATGAGTGTATTGCCTGCATGCATGTAAGCGAATCCATGTTGTGCAATGCCAGAGGGGGTCAAAAGAACGTGCTAACTGGAGTTATGGAGGGCTATTAGCCACTGTGAGTGTTGGGAATCGAACCTGGGTCCTCTGCAAGAGTAGCTAGTGCTCTTAACCACTGAGCCATCTCTCTAGCCCCTGGAATTTTATTTTTCGAAGCTTTCACTTTTTAAGAGGCTGGCAAAGTTTAATTATCCATAAAAACTTACTAAAAGTCTACAAAGATGATTTGTATTTTGTATTAAAACAAAAAAGTTCTATGGAAATTCAGTCCTATACTTGTGGAAGATTTTTTTTGAAGACAGGGTCTCCCTGTAGCCCCAGCACCTAGAACTCACTGTGTAGACCAGGCTGGCCTTGATCTCACACAGATCCACCTGCCTCTGCCTCCCCAGTGGTTTGGATCAAAGATATGCACCACAACGCCCAGCCTCTGATTTTATTTTAATTATGTGTGTCTGTGTGGGGGTATGTTTATGTGAATTCAAGTGTTTGCAGAGGCCAGGGGAGGGCATCAGATGCCCTGAAGCTGAGTTACAGGCACTTGTGAGCCACTCAACATGGGTGCTGAGAAATGAACTCAGATCCTCTATAAGAACAGTATGTGCCCTTAATCACTAAGCCAATTCTCTAGCTCCACATTTGTGGCTTTTCTGTAACATTTTGGTCTCTGTTATGGGCTAAATTTTGCCCCACTCCACCCCACCTTATCCTACCCAAGTTTATCAGTTGCAGTCCTGACCCCAGTACTTCAGAATGTGACTGTTTGGAGACAAAGTCTTCTGAGAAGTGATTAAGGCAAAACAGGTTCACTAGGGGAGTTGCTGATCTAATCTGACTAAGGTCTAAAGAAGAGGTAGTCAGCACAGAGGAATGGCTGTATGAGGACACGGGGCGGACCAAGGCTGACAAAACCTGGAGCACAGGCCTCTAGTCTGCAGCACAGCGAGCACGAAGAGCTTTTGTTTAGGCCTCAGTTATGGAACCTGTCTCCAGCTAACACGGTCACTAAGAAACGTATTTCAATGCAACTGTGAAAAAGACTCTTCGTCAGCCTATGGTTTGCTAAACACACACACTATCAAGCTGTACCGCCTGGGTCACTGCCTTCTTAAAATGCACAGCTGTGGCAGAAGCCTGGACAGTGGCAAAAAGGAAGGGCGTTTCTGCTGCCACAGGCCCTGCTGCTAGTGCCATCCCCAGCTCACAGCGAGGCCAAGCTGCTCACTAGGAAACAGCTCTCACACATGGCTGTGTGACCAGGCTTACCTCAGTGCACACTGCACACCGGTCTCATCTCCATAGGCCGAATACAGCAGCTCCATTTCATCCGATTTCAGGTCCCCAAACACAGAATTGTTCTGCATTGAAAGTGCAGTGCTGGCATTGGACAGGAATGTGACTGAAGAGAAGGAAGCAAGGAAAGGTCGGGCACATGCTCAGGGCAAGGACCAGTTCTCCTTCCAGGTCATCCCCACCTAAGTCTGTCTTTGGTGCCTCCTTTTCTCCTTCTCTCTGAACATTTGCTTCTAAGCACAAACACAGCAGCAGAATTATCCATGGGTAACTGCAGTGTCTATTCTGCACTGAGTTTTACCCCTGTGGCCCAGGGGCTACAGAACAGAGACTGACCTTCGGGTAAAAATGAACTTGGACAAGAAGTACTTTGTGGTACCAGTCAGTTCACAAAACCCCACTGGTACATGACACCAGGAACTGAACCAGCCCAGACAGGCTCTTGCCCAGGGTTATGACAGTACATCAGGTAATGCCTACACAGCTCAGTGTTTCTCAGCCTCCATGGACATGGCCATTATGCCATGTTCTACACTCTGCTGCAGCATCCTGGGTCTCTCCCCGCTGGATACCAGCAGCACACCCTATCCTTCCTTGTGATCAAAATGCCTTCTGGGGACAAACTGCTGAGCTGAGAACCAAAAACAAGGAATGTCTCAAAGGTACATCAACAGTAACAAGGGAAGGGGTGAGGAAGTTGTGGGTGAGTCGTATCAGAGAAGGTATTATTTAATAGAAGGTTCAAATGAAGCTGGACTTCAATTCTCAGAGCTGCAGAAAAAGCATACCAGAAAGAAACTGCCCTCTAGTAGTTTGGTGGGAACACCAAGAGCAGACGGTGCACAGAACTGAAGAGGACAATCAAGTGGGCAGGACCTACTGGTGCAGTAGTGACCTTGAGCTGCCGGGCCTCCAGAATGCCATAGTGTAGGCAGGGGCCACAGGAAGCAACAAAGGAGAACAGAAGCAGTGACACAGACAAGGACATGCCCTGCCCTCGAGAAAGGATGTGTCTGCAAAGACTAGAGAGATAGGGAATAAGGGAATGCCAAGTCTAAGGGGCGTGACCTCGAGTGCTCTCCACGTCTCTAAAACAATTCATCTCAGTAACATAGAAGAAATGTCACCAAAGCACATTCAGACTCAGAAAGGGATGGCTACTGTGCTCCCAAGAGGAAGGAACTGATATTCATAGTCAGGGTAGGCCCACAATGAGGCATCAGTTGGCATGCTCTCCAGCATCACAACACATACCTGTGCACACATAAACATGCACACAGCAAAGCAAGCCTTATCATAAACACATGTACAGGTTAAAACAAGCCTTAGAGTTATACAACCACATATACAACAAGTATATTACACCACACACATTCCAAAACACACTAGCAAACCTGTCACAAATGTAGATCACACAAAAACAAATGTACCTGCCACTCCCTTATGTGTGTAGCCACCCACAACCACCATGCCCAGCTCTATCAGCTACCAGGCAGCTCCATCACCCTCCCAATGGTTAAAATGTGAATCTGCTGTAGGAAATGAACCTCCTCCATGAGCATCAGCAGGAGTTAAGGCTCCTGTGGAGGGAGGGAACAGCAGCCTGCAAGGGGCTTAGGAGCTCAGCCTGAGCCCACCCTCAGTGGATAGCAAAGAGCAAAGCAGGAACTCTCCCCCTACTGTGACTTTGATCTGCCCACTTTAATGGATCTGAATTCCATTAGTCTTAAAATCTGAACCTAGACACAGATCCTGAGGTTTCCCACTAGTCGCAACACTTACCTTTGTTTCGTCTTTCATCTTTGAAACCCAGTGTCGTGAAGCCTGGGAGCAGTTTGCTGGACAGTGAACTCAGGTCCACAGGGTGCGTCTCTTCCTCTGCAGAAGACAAAAGAGGGAGGGAGGGAGGGTGGGATCAGGTCAGCTTGGTCTCTCTCGGCAGCGCTGGGCAGTGGATAGAGGTGGGGTACAGGGACACTACAGTGTCCATTTAAAAATGAATTTACAAAAGTAAACTATCATTCTTAAAACAGCATTTTAATTTTAGTTTGTAATTGCTCCAAAGTCAACACCATGAAAAAAATGCCAGGTCTGGGCCTGGGGCGATGGCTGTGTTGGCAAAGTGCTTGCCTTACAAGCATGAGGACCCAAGTTCAATTCCCAGAAGCCACGTTTTAAAAAAAAAAAGTCAGGCATGATGGTGCTTATCATCATAGTGTTAGGGAGGTGGAGACATGCAGATCTCTGGGGCTCACTGGCCAGCACACATGTGCACTCACATATACATATGTAGCCACATAGACACACACACACACACACACTGTCATGTCTGTGGACCATCACGCCAGCAATGCTTTTACCTTTGAAAACTGCTCGCTCAGCACCTACATGCTGTTGTAACAAAAGTTGCTGGTTAGCTTCCACAAGCTTATCTGGATGCAAATCTGCTTACTGGCTTTTATGTACCACTTCATTACTCCTGACTACCCTAAGTAGTCTACCTCACCTTGTTTCTCATGGAGAGTACAGCAATTCATTCCAGTTAACAGTTAAAATCAGAGTTTCTATTCTGTACACAACGGAGGGAATGAAATAATCCTGCTGATCCAGGGCTGAGTAGAAAAATGCCATGAAGCCAAAGGGGTGCAGGAGCAGTCGATCTGTGTGGAGTGATGTAGGCACAGCAGGAAAGCCTTCACCAATTTCCACTGCATCTCACTCTCTCCAAATGGACCTGTGGGCATGCTGCAATCCCAGGGAGTCACTCACAGGTACAGCTGTTACCCTCTCAAGGAGACACCCCAATGCTTCCTTAGAACATGAACTATCCTGCCAGGCTAGTGCATCTAGTGCTCATGACTCCGCCAAGACCTCCCCTGACGTGATCGTCCAACCTTCTTTCTGGAACACACTTCTGAGTTTCAAGTGTGCAGGTCAGCTTTTGGCTCCTGAGGAAGCAATGCTGGCAAAACTCAAGAGTTAAAACCTTCCCACATCACCAGTGGCATTCAGCCCTCAGGAAGCTATTGTCACCCTGAGGAAGTCAACAGAAGCCTAATGGCATCCCAGCCCCCTCCATGACACACACTGACTCCACTATGCACAACATGTGCCACCAAGGATATGTGATGGAATAGGAAGTCAGCCGGCTGCTCTGCAGTCCTTCACCAGCAGTGGGAACAGGGCAAAGGTGTGACACACGCTCTGCATCCGAGTGTATACAGAGATCGGAGGACAACATGCAAGCAACCAGGCCCAACACAGAGCACCCACCATCTGCATCAGGCTCAGCCGCATTGACCACACTGTAGAGGAGACTTCCATCTCCGAGCTTCTTCAGGTAGCCCATCTGCAATGAAACAGTACTTAAATATTGTCCCTCAGCAGAAACCTTGTGCCATCCTCTAGAGACAAGTGGCATGCTGGTCACACTTCCACTAACTTCTCCATGAGAAAGCATCAAAGACTACCTCTCGTGTCCTAGGATTAGGGACTGGTCTGCTTGCAAATGAGGGCACCTGCTTGAGACTAAAGACACCTGCTCATGACTGAGGGTCCCCACAGTGGCCAAAGAACTGCTCAGGCTCATGACCCCTTTCAAAGGGGCTTCTGAAACAAAAACCTTGACCCAGAAGCAAACATGTAAAACCATTCATAACTCTGAACAAAATGAGATAGAGAATATCAGCTAGGTAACAAGCATCGTACCACACTCTGGGGCCCGCCTCCATCTCTAAGGCATGTAGGAACTTGGATTCACTGAAAATCCACCACAAAATGCCTTGACTCTTTCCACAGTTACCTGCAGTCTCATTTAGGGACAGTATCCCACTGTATGGGAGGAAGGTGGAAGCTGTGCATGTGCACATGAGATGTGCAAGGGGCTGGTAAAGCACATTATGAGTGAGCTTCTGCAACTGCAGAGGCGTTGAGAGGATATCAGACCACAAGATACAAGTAGGGCAGAGGTAGGAGAGGTGGCAGATTCAAGACTGAGGGTACTAGCAATGTACCCAAGGCAATGGGCCGACTTCTCACTGTAGTGCTACAAACCAAGAGAAGGAGATGTGAAGTGGCTTGTGGTCCTGGAGGAAATGGGACAGCAAGGTTTTCAGACCATGCAAACATAATAACCAACACAGTTCTCTTCCTAAGCCACATACCCCACAGGTACATTTCCTAGCTCTACCTGACAGTGCTTTACATAGCATATAATCTTAGTTTCTAAATAAGATTCCCAACTGGAGAAGTAACTGGAGAAATGGCCAATTCCAGGGTGGAGCACAGCAGGGGCTCAGGCCAACACTGCTACAGAACTGCCCACAAACCATGCACTCGATACTCAGTTTTCTAGGAGGCATATTTACAAAAGCAAACAGGCAAAAACAACCTTAAGGTGTTTGGGCTTTGTGGTGAGGGCCAGGCAAGCCTCTACCACTAAGCCATACCTCTAACTACCTTAAAGCTTTTCATATAAACTAAGAATCCAAAACATTGCCATTTTAACCTTTAGTACTTACGATGTAATGCACATTTTGAAAACAAAAAAAGAGTGTAAAGTTCCAATTACTATTAATACAGACCACAGACTGAGATGGTTAAGAGTTAGTGTTAGGTCCAGTGGAGCATAACAGATTCATTTCTCCATGTGTTCTCACTCTTGTTACAGAGGTTTGTGTTGTAGCCCACAGATGCCCTGCACCAGATCACTTTGTGCCATGGAGGCTCTCTGAGGATGGCAGCACCTTGTACTGAAGAGAAAGGGTAGATGGTTCTCTCTGCTACAGCTGGGACTATAGACAACTGCATTGAGAAATGGCAGCAATGATCTATGGTTGACTCACAATAAGCACAGAGCCCCAGATAAGTGAAGAGGTAGCAACTTTAACCTCACCTTTGTGAGGGCTTCACCTGTAGGGAAGCCTGGCAGGCTCCCTAAGCAACAGGACCAATCATAAGTGGCCCCAACCACAAGCTGGATACAGTGGGAGCACACTACACTCAATGCTCACCAAGCCCCTGCCAGCATGGTGACCTGGGCCCCTTCTAAGAAAACAAGACCAGGACAGCCAAGGAGCTGACCTGACTCTGGCTTGGTCCTCTGGAACCCAAAAGGCACTCCAACTAAACCCTCATGCTCCTGATTTTGATAGTGTTACCTGGCTGCAAAGACACGAGTGTTTGAGGCCAAGTGGCATAGCCTTCATGGGGAGGGCCACCGACACTACCTTGCCTCCCGGGAGGAACCGGTTAATCCTGTCCCGAGCCTCATCAGCTGCATGCTCCACTAGGGCCAGCACGTGCTCCTCCGCAGTGCTGTCCGTCAGGCTGCAGGCATTCCCTTCAGGCTCAAACATGCAGCTGCAAGGTTGGGAAACCAAGTGTCAGCTCAGGTGCTATCCTGCTGTTCCCAAAGATTTGGCTTCATGGACAATCAATCCCCTTTGCAGAGAACAGCAGGGCAGCACTGGATGAAGCTTAATACTTCTACTTTGCACAGGATGCCTTTGTAGTCTAACTAGGCTCTTTCATTTAGACTGGTAAGTACAAGTCAAATAGACCCTCTGTACTTTCCATGTCTTAGGGAAACACTTAAGTCCTCTTAAGAACAGCAAAAAAATGTGACAGAAACTACACAGACATGAAAGGTACCATTAGGAAATGTGCAAAAATCCCTTTTATGTGGAGTGTCACATTTACAGTAAGGTAGAAATGGGCAGCTGGGTCAGGTGAAGAACAGCCCCCACTACTGTCACCAAGGAGCAGCTCAAGGGACTTGCTAGACTTCAGCAGGCAGCCCTGGGATCCCCATGGAGTAGTTCTGACTCAAAGTGAGACATGCTGGCACCAGAGGTAGCCTGTCCTGTGCAAAGAGTAGAGGCAGGTGGCCAAGCTCTTCCTTGCCTAAGATATGGTGCAACAAGGATTGACAATCTAGCACTGGGATAAAGGCACCGTGAGCCACGATTCAGAGCTCCACAGCACTGGCACTAATACTTAAGCATGCCTATGGCATTCAGTGGACCTAGACTTTGAAATCTGGGAATTCAGAAAAAACCACAACTATGCCATTCTGTCTAAAAGCCCCGAAACCCACAGATGAGGGTGGAATCTGTGTGAAGATCATCTATACCAAAGCCACTGACTGGACACTACAAGTCAGAGGCCTGAGGTGACCTGAAAGGACAGGCACTCATGGGGGATAAGAGAGGACAATGGGAAGCACATCAGCGCACAGGGAACCTTCCTTAGGAAAATGCACTTCTGCCACAGGGTAGATCACTAACCCAAAGGGGAAGCATATGGTGTAAACATGAGTGAGCACCCCTGTCCTTTGTCATCTGTGCAGTACCCACTGTTCCCTCTGTGCTACTCAGGTGAGTCTCCCAACACAGCTCAAACCATCGCCAGGGCAGAAACACGCTGGACAGTGCTGGGAAGGAATGAAACCACACAGGGCCCCAACTTCCTATGATTGCTTCAAAGCTCCTTGGAACTTGCTATTGAAGGGGCAACATTAGCTCAGTCTCCATGCTCCACCTCCATGAAACAAAGGTATACCATGAGAGCTGGGTAGGATAATAGAGAAGGGTCCCTGAAGGTCCCTTCATCAGCCATGGTCTAAGGAGCACTACAGCACTGCAGGGAGCTATGCCTGTAGCACCTTCACCTTCCTGATGCTTATCTCCAGGCTACCTGTCCCCCTGCTCCAGAGTCCACAGCACTGCAGAAGCCATTTTATGGATACTGTCTCATAGTGAATGCTGGTGACCAGAATGGGTTCACTGTAATTGTGCCCTGCACAGGAAAGGACACACAGGTCACTGCAGGTGCTGTATATGGAGAGTATGTCCCAAAGGATATTAGCAAATGGCATGTATGCTGCACAGTTATGACAAGCTGGAAAAACACACTGCAAGGATAGCTACATGAGACTGTGGACCCCAGTGCATGTGGCAGGCAGGCAGGAGGGTAATCTCAGCCCTCCTGCATCTCACATTCATCAGTGGCATGGATTGCTGAGGTGGTGGTGACACAGCATGTGGTGAATTACCATCCCACCTGATAGAACCAACCTGCAGGAACCAGAGTCTGCACATATACCAGTGACAGGCTAGTATCACCTATGTGACATAGTCACTTCATTCTTAGGGAAGGAGAAAGGGGTAGCCACTTCCTTCTCAAAGGCATCCAGTCCAATACCTCTCGTCTGTACCAGCTGCCTCAGAGGGCCTGAGAACCCTGAGAGATCATGTTCCTTCATCCGGGATGAGATGTCCCATGGGTCCCCCTTGCCCTCGCCTGGGCAAAGCATCACTGTCCTACTTTTGGGCAGCAGCTCCACAGGAAAACATCTCCCATGAAGCCTTACCTGATAACTTCTCTACTCGGCTTTTTGGATTTCTTGGCAGTTTCTACTTGCACTGGGACAACCTCAGGAACAGGTTCCTCAACTGCTGGGTCTTCACTGCCCAAAAGAGCTGCCTGCTGAGAGAAATCCATGTCCTGCATAAACGACATGCTGCGCTTCAAAGCTAACAGCCGCTCCTAGAATCAGAAAGGACAGAGCAGCAGGACTTTACCTCTCCCTCAGCCACGGTGCCATGACGATGGGATGGCATGGGATGGCCATGGCCTCACCTGGCCCAACCACCTTCCCAGATGCTGCAGCGGGAATGGCTGTGGGAGCTCAGCACCCAACATACAGCCCACAGCTGGTGATGAGGAATGGCAGAGCCCAGCAGGTGCCCCTCACATACATGAGGCACACACAGCCTGGCTTACAGTACAGATCTGGGAAGCCACTTGGGATAGCCAAGGAGGACAAGTTTGTTCTGTTGGGGGTCAGTGAAGCTGCCCCACAAAACAAACCCACAAGGCTGGCCTCCATCCAGCAAGACTGACCCTAGATCCAGAACTTTTCACCAGCCCCATATGATGGCACCTTTAAGCTGTGCACAGGTGCAGGAGGGGATGGTGCCTGGAGGAGAGGGCAGTCTAGAGCAGGGGTCAGCACCTGGGCGTGGCAGATGGATGGAGCGTGTCATTCATTGTGAGCCTGTTAGGCACAGAAAATTAGAAGACTTCGGCTCAGTGCCATTGCTCTAGTGGGTTTCTTACTTTGCTCATCATCTTAAAGCCGGCATGCAGGATCTTCTTGGCTAACTTGTAGTACACGGTGTCTGGTCTATTGTAGGTCATCGCATTATCACACATTAATTTGAAATCTGCCTAAGAAAAGGAAAGAAGGAATTTGCCACATAGGTAACAGCAAAATTCTGCATTCTTATCAAAAGATGCCAAAAGAGAAGGACTAAAGTTCAGCAGAAAATAATTAAACTTAGGAAGACTGATGTGGAGGAACCCAGAGAGATTTTTCATAATTCTCCATGGGTCTTTACTTACATGAGAGTTTTCCAGTGAAAAGCTGGTTAAAGTCTCTTAACTTCCTTTTGAGCACTAATATGTAGATTTTATGAAGGAGACTGCACATATATATTCTGAGCTGCCTTCTTTCCTCTAGCCCTCCTCCCTGTCTGGCAGGAACTTGGATATAAATAGGAACGAGAAGCAACATGTCTCGTTCTTTAACCAGAATTGAGGGATGGAGTGAGGGTAGGCACAGCACACCTTCTGCTTCAGGGGTTTCCACAGAAGAGAATCTGAAATTTTGTCTACTGTAAATAGTTATTAGATCTGTTAGAAAAACAGAGTGCCCTCAAATAAGGAAAGTCATACCCAACATTCTATAGTAACACTGAGGTATTTGGAAATATTAGTATTTACAATTAGAAGCTTCTCAACACACACTTCCCACAGGTGACTAGGACACTGGTTTATCAACCCTGCTACAAAGAACACATCACCTGTGACTTCACCATGTCACTGTGGACCCAGAACTGTGTCAATTTCCTCAGGACAGCACCAAGGCCTTGGAGAACATGTCCTTCTCTAGTTGTACATGTGATGGGTATGGTCACTCAAGACTGACACTCAGTGACTACAGGGGGCCCACAGCTGGGAATGGAGAGGACCAGGGTGTGGATTTCTTAAGACTCTGCTTTCTGCTCTCACTCACATCTCTCCCAAGCAATGTTCCCTTCTACCACCCTCCTTGCAGTCAGCCTTATGGTTGAGTCAGAAAACCCTTCATAAACTGTCTCGAATGAAAAACAGAAAGTCAAATGTCTCCAGAGTCACCCAACATTAAGAAGAAAGCTCTTTCCTAAGCACTAACTCTATCATCATGTTCTCTGGCCTTCCCCACTCTCCAAGGCAATAAGCAATTTGTAACTCAGAGTCAAAAATCAAGACATAGAAGACTTAAGAACTAAGCACCCAAACGATGCAAAGATTCTAAAACAAAATTAAATACGCAATTTAAAAAAATATATTTTATTTATTATTTTTATTTTATGTGTATGAGTGTTATGGTAAGTAAGTGCACTCATGTTGTGCAATGCCCATGGAGGACAGAAGAGGCTGTCAGATCCCCTGGAACTGGAGTTACAGACAGTTGTTAGCTGCCATGTGGGTGCTGGGATTTGAACTCGGGTCTTCTGCAAGAACAGCCAGTGTTCTTAACTGTTGAGCCATCTCTCCAGCCCCTAAATACCCAATTATTACAGGACAAAACTAAGAATTAGGAAAAACAATACTTCTAAAAATACCAAACTGGACATATCATTGGGCCCAGGAACAAGTCCTGTCTATGCCAGCACTGAAACTTCAAAAGAAAGGAACACATAACAGTGGCATCCTGGAGTCTAGTTTCCAGATCGCTGCTGAGAATCACCTGTTTCCTGTAACACTGTCAGCAAACGGCCACCCACCTGAACAGTCAGCCTCTGCAAACACTTAGAACTAAAAATGACCTAGGCTACACCAACGGGTATGAACAAACACACCACACACACACACACACACACACACACACACACACACAGAGAGAGAGAGAGAGAGAGAGAGACAGAGAGAGAGAGAAGAGAGAGAGAGAGAGAGACAGAGAGAGAGAGAGAGAGAGCCACAAACATTATTTCAGAGAGTAAAACTAATTTACCTTAAATTCTGTGACTGATTTATACTCATTAGCTGCAATCTTGTCTTTCATTGTGCCAAAGTCCATGGGATGCTTTATGATCATCGAGTAACCAGGAGCGATTGCATCCGTGACAGGAAAAGCAAAAAATCCATGAGGATCTTTTCTGCAAGCAGAGATACCTTCGAAGTAGAAAAACTCTTAAAAGTTCAGATTTCTAAGTGACATAAACTCTTTATAATCCAAAAATTTGATATAACTGAATTTTAAATTTGCTTCGTAAAAGTACAGTGGAGAGGCTGGAGGGGCTCAGCAGTTAAGAACACTGGCTGTTCTTGCAGAAGACCCGGGTTCGAATCCCAGCACCCACATGGCAGCTCACAACTGTCCGTAACTCCAGTTCCAGGGGATCCTACAACCTCTTCTGACCTCCGTGGGCACCGCACGACACAGGTGCACTTACCTACATGCAGGCAATACACGCATACACATAAAATAGAAATAAAATATTTTTTTTAAAAGTACAGTGGAATAAAATGAATGCCTTTTTATGGTTGTGGTAGGAATTTGGATACAATGCAGCAGTGTCCCAGCTCTACCTTTGACAGGCGGTGCTCTGGAAGCAGCACTACAGCACCAACTACAGAGTGAACTGAGGGAGGCATGCAGCAATGTGCTTCCTGGCCCCGAAGCTGTGGCAAGCCCACTCAGTCTGCCCACACCCTGCTGGACTTGGGACTGCCGAGAGAAAATGAAGTGTCCATCTCTAGGGGGTGGGAGGGGAATGATGCAGGGTTCAAAATATCTAGAGAAGGGGGTGTGTCTCATGGGGTGGTGGGAAGTAGGACAGAGGTTCAAAGTGTCTAGAAGGGGGTGTCTCTCTCACTGGTGGCAGGGTGTGAGATGCAGAGGTCAGAGCATGTACAGAAGGTAGGGTATCTTGCAGGGGGGAGGACATGAAGTTCAAAGCATCTAGAGAAGGTAGCACGTCTGTCTCATGGGTGGTGGAATGCAGAGTGGGACATGGGGTTACCTCTGTAGCTGGCGTAGGAAGTGCTCCAGGAGCCTCTGGATGGGTGTGCTCTCGTTCTCAGCTGACAGTTTAAAGAGAAAGGAAATAAAATCTAATAAAAGTCTTTGTTCCCTTCACTAGGAAGCTCCATATTCAGCTGCTTGTAGAGCTTCATAGCATCTGAAGCTCAAGCAAGAAGTAAGATCACAGACAATTCAGACTTGGGCATGGCTTCCTCAACCTTTGCTGGCTGGCTGCTGGGGGACACACAGCAGGTCTCAAGACCTGCAGGGCTGCTACCCATCATGCTATTTCCAGCTCCAACCATGATCTGGCCTAGAGCCCTAGACAAGGTACAGAGAAAACAAGGGTGTAGATAGAGTTGATCCCGGACTCCCTGGTCAGTACTTCACTTGAGACTCCACACTGTTCAGATATGCCTCTGGTCCTCATCTACCAAGGAGAGATACACACAACAAAGAGCTCTTTTGAGGACTGTGGTTATCAACTATGTCTCTGAGCCCACAACCAGCCTGACAGTGATTATTCTCTGGAGGTCACTAGGACTACACTGTGAAATCAGGTTACTGATGTCAGCACCTATGCAACTCTGGGACATTCCCTGACTGTTGTTTCCTGCCTACCCTTCCTTACTAACATGTCCAGCAGCCACCCAAAAAACAGTGGTTTACTAGGACTGAGCTGCACAGGGGTGGGAGTTGCTAGCAAATAGGACCCCTTCCCACAAGGCTACAACAGATATTTCCAGGAGCCTGGCAAATCAGGAGTGGTCAAACCCACAACCACAGGAAGAAATCCAGAAGAGAAAAATCACACTGAGGTGAATATTTCAGAACTTCCTTTTCATAAGCACCACAGTCATATGGATCTCAGATTCCAGTATTAGCCTTCTTGACGTCTCATGTCGCAACACCAAGCTGTCTCAGTTTCCCTCCATCTAGGAGGAAACACTCTTGCCTAAGCTTAGATTACTTGGCTGGAATCCTACACAGGAAGGCTAGTAGCCAGTGAATACAAAAGGCCAGACCATGCTTTAGGACTCCAGCTGAAATGTCATGCCTGGCAGGAGCTGCCCAGGTCAGAAATTTACCTAGCTTCCTACATGCCAGCCTAAGTCATTTTAAATAACTCCAGACCTACCGCCAGGGCCTACTTCTGAGTCCCTTCTTCCCAAGAAGGATTACCTGTGTTTCCATTACACGTGTGCTTCCTATATGATGAATGTGGGGCTACTCACCTCATGGTACTGTTTGTGGCAGTGAGGCAGATTGTAATTCAAACTTCTAGACCAAAAATTGGTAAACTTTAGCCAAATTTAAAAGTGTAGCTTGTGTGGACCACATATGGTTGGGCTCTGTGGCATCTGTGTTTTGTTTTTGTTTTCTACTATTCTTTATGAGCACATACCCGTTCTTAGCTTGTGAACTGTCTTTTTAAAGCCTCCCCAACCCCAGCAAGCGGACACCTGTACTACAGCCTCAGGTTCAGGGATACTAGCACACGCCCCAAGAGAAGGCCCTAGCCTCCTCTCCCCACACGTCTCCCCCAGAGCAAGAGACCACAGTGTCACCCGAATCTTAGAGTCTAGAGGGGCAGGGTCTTTCTTGCCTGGCTGTGTCCGGCAGGCTCTCACTGGCCGATCTGGGGGTGGCTCCACCTCGACCTTCTTCCCAGGGTCAAAGGCATCAGCCTCCCCCTCTGAGTCGCAGTGTTCCTTCTCCCGCTTCCGCTTCTTTTCTTCCTGTGAGCATCAAGGAAGGGAGGGCACAGGTGGCCGGAGCTCCCTGGGATGGATGTTGCAAGCCCTGCATGCCTCTGCCTTCTCTATATTAGTAAGAAGACCCCTCCTGACACCCTCAAGGAGTCAGCCAAAGACACCCCAGAAGCCCAGGCCCGCAGCCCTGACCCAAGTGTGGCCAGGTGTGAGCGGTCCCCGCTGCAGGCCCACACCCTTACCTTCCGCTTCCTCCTCTCCTCCCCATCGAGGTGCTTTTCTTTCTCTGACTTCTTCTTCTTTTTCTTCTTCTTTTCTCTGTGTCTCTCTCGTTCATGGTCTGACCTGTCATCATAGTAGCTGGAGTCGTGGCCAGATCCTGAGAGCTCTGTCACTTCACTTCCTCCCACCTTGAGCACCAGCTTGAGCGGCTTCTCCAGCGGTGTGTCCGTGTAATCTGCACACAGGTCATGGGTGGGACCACCGTTCCCCTGGGGAAGTCACAAGGGGAAGCCCAAGAGGACGGGGGTCTGGACTTGCTGAATCTAGGCAGCAGGGAGATGCCAAACCACAAGAAAAGATGGACTCCCAAATGCACAGGCTGTGTTCAACGCTCCCTTTCAAATCACATCACCACCATTGCGGTTCTTGGGGGGGGGGGTCCTCCTCACCAGGGACGAAGACCATCACCCCTACCTGAGACCCAAGACCCCCAATTCCTTCGTAGAGGCATACACCTGCTGCCAGACCCAAGCAGAACCAAAAGGCCTCTTTCTGGGTCCAGGAACCCCAGCAGGGAAGCCTTTCCCCAGGCCGAGGGCCCCGCCCCTGAGCCTAGGACAGCGCGCCCCCATGCCCCCCCAAAGCCCTCCCCGCCATCTTAGGCCCCGCCCCTCCCACCAGGGCCCCGCCCCCAGCCCAGGACTTGCATCCCTTAGACGCCACCGGCCTCGGGCCCCTCCCCGCCACCTTAGGCCCCACCGCCGGCCTAGGCCCCGCACCCTCGTAGGACGAGCGCCACTCGGCCTTGTGCTTCTTGTGCTTCTTGCCCATGGTGGCGACCGCGGCGACGACGGCAGCCGACGCGAGGAGAAACTGTCGCCTGTAGTCCGACCTACGGAAGCCGGAAGTGGCCGCGGCCGCCCGCCGAGCACTTCCGGGTCAGGGGGCGGTGCGCGGCAGATTCGAAGCGTGGTAGGGGCGGGGCGCGCTGTGAGGCGCCGCTGAGGTGGTCTAGACCCCGGCTGAGGCGACGGAGGCGGATCCCGCGACAGCCGAGTGGCGGCGGCGGCTGTAGCTGCGGCGTCCTCGCTTCGGCCGCTACCCTGCGGCTCCTGACAACCGTAACATGGACGAGGCGGTGGGCGACTTGAAACAGGCGCTGCCCTGCGTGGCCGAGTCGCCCGTGGTCCATGTGGAGGTGCTGCAGCGCGGCGGCAGGTGAGTGGCGGGGCGCCGGGCCGGAGCGGGCGGGGGTAGGGGCGGGTCCCGGAAGAGCACGGCCCACCCCACAGCACCCCCCCCGCCGCGCCCCCCCACGCTCCCAACAAGACCCCGCGAAGCTAGGCAAGCCTCACCCCACTGTACCCGACGTATCGAGTGCCCAGGAGCAGTGATGGCCCCTGTGGAGCTGCCCGTGCTGGGCACCGGGGCGGTGTTCAGTCAGGGTACCGGAAGGCGGCGTGAAGTGGAACCAGGAGGTGGACCATGAGGTTTGCTCACCCCGAATCAGGTGGTACATTCCACTAGACTAGACCTACAGGTATGCACATACCTTAATAGCCACCACGGACTGAGTGCTTCTTCCTTGACAGGCTTGTCCCCAGCACTGAATTTTGATTAATTTTCAGAGTGATTCAGCATGCCAAGAACTAGTTCCTTCTGTCTGATGGGGAGCTGAGGGTGGCTGGTGGTGTTTCTACAGTTGATCCTTAGGTAGCCATTGTCGAACCTGACCTTGAGTAATGAATGAATAGCTTTTATATATATATATGTATGTATGTATGTATATGTATCGTGGTTTTTTTTTTAATATTTAATTTATAACTTTTTTTTTTTTTTTTGGTCTTTTTGAGACAGGGTCTTCCTGTAGCCCCAGCTGGCCTGGCACTCCCAATGAAGGCCATGCTGGCCTTGATCTCACCAGAGATCCACCTGCCTCTGCCTCTGGAGTGTTGGGATTAAAGGTGTGCGCTACCACGTCTGGCTTTATAGTGTTAACTAAGATATTTTATGCATGTTTATTTGTTTTTTTAGCACTGCGAAAAAAGAAGATATAAGGCAGAGTGTTTCCAAACTGCTCAACAGGCATAATATTGTGTTTGGAGATTACACATGGACTGAGTTTGATGAACCTTTTCTAACCAGAAATGTGCAGTCTGTGTCTATTGTTGACACAGAATTAAAGGCTAAAGACCCTCAGGTAAATTCCTAGATAACCATCCAGGTATCTGAGCCCTTCAAGGAAATCAAGGGTTGGTGTCATGAATAGCTGTTGTTGACATTCACAGCAGGTTACTTGCTTATGTATTAGTTTGGGCAGCTAGACAAGCTCTAGTTGTCTGTCCTGGAGCCAAGTGCTGGAGTAAGGGTAGCCCTGTATCAGGATGCTCTGGACAGAGCCAAGGACAGATGAGAAAGGGAATCAGAGTTGGAGTGCAGAGCTGTAGAATATCAGGCTGTGTCTCTTTCCTGCTCTATCCAGACAGTAGAAAGTGTGGAAGTTGCCGGAATAAGAAATAGGCCTGCCTTGTAGAAGCTCTTAATTTTATCCTGTGTACAGATAGCCTTATCCACTATCTCTTCCTGATATATGTGGGAGCTGGGATCTTTGTGTTAGGGGTGCAGATGCACTGGGATAGTCTATCACCAATATAAAAGCACTTGGAAATGTGTCACCAAGAAAGAACCTTCATTTAGCACTGTATGACTCTTGCCTTATAAAGAAATGATTTTGAGGGCTGGAGATATAGCTTATTATAGGTGGAGTGCCTGCCTAGCATGCCCTAGCTTCAATCCCTAACATAGAAAGTAAAGTCAATAGAAATAAAATAGTTTATCTATAAGCAATAGACCTGGGCCTCTGGGCCTAACATTTTGCTTGTGACTTAGACTTCCTTCATTTGCTAAGACTAGTGTTTGTATATTGTCTAGTTTTATCAGCACTAAAATCTGATGCCCTTCTACTTGGTTTGGCTGGGGTTTGGAAGCTGTTGGAGTAGAGGCTTTCTAGCACTGCTGTGGATGGATTAGCACAGCTTAGCTTTGGAACAGTCCATGAAAAGTTCCAACAATCTAACAACAGATTCACCTGAAGGAATTTATCTTACCTAATAGTTAGGCATTTCTATACTTGTATATGAACAAATGTGTGTTGCATATTGTTGTTATCCAACATTTTGAAATAATTTAACTGTCCATCAGGTTGAAACAAATTTGATAAATGTACACCAAATATGAGCTAGCCATTAAAAAGAAGAAACGGAGCCAGGCACGGTGGTGCACACCTTTACTCCTAGTACTCAGGAGGCAGAGGCAGGCACATTTCTGTGAGTTCAAGGCCAGCCTGGTCTACATATTGAGTTCCAGGCCAGCTGGGGCAACAGGGAGACCCTGTCTCAAACACACAC